TGTGTTTTCAAATATTTCACCAGAGTCGCCAATACGTGTGTTTTACTCTATTTTTCAATTGAGTTCCACTGAACAGTGAGGTGGCAGCACTCTCATGTCTGTGTTGTTTCTTTCAACAATCTCATACTGAGAATTTCTATGAAGGCCTAATGCCAACCCACTGGATCTTGCCTGAGCTTCTACTATTCCAACAGCTTTATGTATTATTTGTATAGCTCTTTACAAGTAACTACCAATCCTGCAATCAGCTATTTCAAATTGGCTTACCTACAAAACTGGACCCTCCACAAAAAACCTGGGAAAAAACCTCCACCCAGTAGTACATAAGCGCAAACAAAGATATAACCCTGACAACAAAACCTGTTGTAAAAAATACATTTTTCTCAAAATTCCTTAAATTAAAATATCAACTTGTACATTTTGGGGTTTTGTAGCAATCCCATTTGCACCTCATCAGAAAACTTTTAATTCTAACACAGAAACGACAATTTTTACTTTCCACATTTGTATTGGCTTTTCATGGCAAGGCTCTGGCAGAGCGGGGCTAGAGGTGTGGCTTCTGTGAGAAGGTGCCAGAAGCTTCCCCTATGGCCAACAGAGCCAGCACCAGCCAGCTCCAAGATGACATGACACTGGCCAAGACCGAGCCCATGAGTGACAGTGGTGGCACCTCTGGGAGAACATGTTTATAAAGGCGGGGGGATGACACTAAAAAACCCCTAAAAACAGCAATTGCAGCTGGAGACAGGAGTGGGAATATGTGATAGAAACAGCTCTGCAGTCACCAAGGTCAGAGCAGAAGGAGGGCAAGAGACACTCCAGGCACCAGAGCAGAGATACCCCTGCAGCCCATAGTGTAGACCACGGTGAGGCAGACCATGCCCCTGCAGCCCATAGAGGTCCATGGTGAAGCAGTTCTCCACCTGCAGCCCGCGGAGCTCCATGGTGTAGCTGGGGGATGCCCAAAGGAGGCTGTGACCCTCTGGGCAGCCTGTGCTGGAGCAGGCTGCTGGCAGGACCTGTGGCCCCATGGAGAGAGGACACCACGCTAGAGCAGCCTGTTCCTGAAGGACGCACCCCATGGAAGGGACCCACACTGGAGCAGTTTGTGGGAAGGATTCACACTGGAGAAGTCCATGGAATACTGTCTCCTCAGGGAGGGACCCCACACTGCAGCCAGGGAAGAGTGTGAGGCATCCTCCAATGAAGAAGGAGAAGTGGACACAATGTGTGATGAACTAACCACAGCCCCTACTCTGGGTCCCTTTGATGGGCTATAGCATGAATTTCACTAGCTTTATATATTACTGCTATAATTTGCAAAAATAAAAGCAGAAACACCTCTGCATTTTGATATTACAACTTAAGACTGCTGTTTCCCAAGTCACAGAACTCAAACCAAATAAAGTTAAGCAATAACAACAAACTCTTACATGTAACAAACATTCCCATTTTGTTTATTTCACATGCAAATTAGCTCAATGGGAACATAACTGGGGAAAATGCTGAGAAGTAGATTTACTGTGACTTTAGTTGCTACATCCCCACAGCTAGTTTTGCATTACTGAAATACTGAGGAAAAAAGGGAGAGCTTTGCCTCTGCCATTTATGAATGTATGTTGTTTACAGCTATTACTTACAAAAAAACCCACACTATGACAAAATATTATGCCTGGCATTTTGTGGCAGTGTACATGAAGAAAAAGAATGCACCAATGAACTACCACGTAAGTGGAAGACATGGATCCAGAAATTCATATAGTTCCATTAAAATAAAAAGGAATCATTCTGAATATGCTAGCTGAAGATCTGTCCATTAACATGTTACCTCAAAGAGCATCAGAGTTAAATTATGTAGGAATATAACCAATTTTTGTTATGCTGCAAAACCACAGAAAACTACTTACATTTCAGGTAATAAAACTGCAGTAACAGGAAGTAGAGAAAGAAATAGTGAAAAAGCATAGTAAATTAACAAAAATACTTTGCTATCCAAGCTGGGCCTCATGTTTAAATATTATTTCTGGCTTTTGATACAAAAATACAGCTGTCAGTATTTCCAGAGATAGACCATTTTCATCTATAAGGAAGTGAAAAAACAGTAAAACCCTCCTGGCTTATAACAGGGTTTGCTAAACCTGCAGTAGAACCATGGTTTCTGTTTTATAAATACTCACTGAACTTTGCAACATGAAATAGAGTCAGTCCACAGTCAAGCAAGAGAGCAGTGAGGCTGCCAGCCAACATCTCAGGTCCCCAGTGACCTCATGACATAAGCCAGGCTTTCCTCTGCCAAAACTTAAGTAAGATGACATAAAGAAAATGGGGATGTCCCAGAACAGTACTTCAGGCACCCAACTTAATAAAATTGACCAACTTTAAGATGTACAGAAAAAGCTTTTAATATTTTGCACTGCTGATCCTCAGTAAGAGGTCTGCAGAAGTGCTGAGCAGCTGAGAACCTGGGTTAAGACTCCTATCTTGCACTTTCTTTGTTTTATATATAGTTCATAACCCACATAAATAATTTCAGTGACACCAGTTATGACAGCAAGGATTCTTCATTCAGGCACAGTTGTGCCGAATCAGGCCCTAAATTTTTAAGGCATCAATTACTGTTCTCAATGCTAACAGATTACAAATACAGTTTTCTTACCGCTGTGGAAAGGATTCTTTTACCCAAGCAATTCCATCTACACAGCTCCCACTGTGGGGTTAGAGCATGCCTTATGAGATTTACAAATTAATACACTTTTTTTTTCAGATGTGGAAACTCATCTGACAGCCTGCGTTTATACATATGGCATATGTCACACCCATTCATCTCTGCAGAGCACAGCTTTTGTCTCTATATAGGCAACATATAAACAAGCATTGAAACAACAACAACAAAAAACCTATCCCAGCATTTCTAACAGAAATGAAACCCAGTTGGCTTTATTTCAAACAGGAGAGTGAAGGAAATATTTTGGGAGTCTCATCACTACAATGTAATTCTAGCAGTGAAGCAATGCCAGAAGTAACTGTGTCACTAGACTAGTGGGACTGAGCCAAAGTATGTAACCAAAAATTATTTTATAAACACTGAAACTTCCACCACTGCAGTGCTCAGCATTTTTAATCTATTGTAAAAGCTTATAATACCCAATACCCAATGCAAGGGCAATACAACTCATGGGTATATAAAGCTTTTCCCTTTTCAGGGCACTGTACCAACACTAAATTTAATAAATCCCGGCAAAGTAGCATAGAAGTAACACTCAGGATTTTTGTGCAGAAATTGAACTGTGATCCAACAAGACTTCCACATCCTTAGATTTAGGCATGTAAATAAATGGGATTATGTGTGCTCAACACCAAGAACAAACTGAAAAGCTGGTTAACTGATAAATTAGGCCAAGCTAATTAAGCTGTATCAGCCACTGCATCAGGTTTAGACCTTGAAAGCACATACATCCTTTTGCTGTTTCAGGTTCATTCATCAACCTGTGTGGTAAAAAATGGCGTCATCTGCAAAATGTCTTTAAAATTAGCACTGTTTCTTTTTACATCCTCTTTAAAAATGTTGCTATTACAAATTCATGTAAGCTACCCTCAATTCCTGTTACTCCTTATTACTACCAAGATGATAAGGGATCTTGCTGTCCAGCTCCTTCATCAGGTACCTCTCTGAGGAGCTAGACTGCTGTTAGTGCCCAGGTGCAGAGAGCAGGAATGCCCAGGAAAGCGAGCACTGATCCCAGGTACGGCCAGAAAAGTGAGTGCTGTTCCCACCCCTAGTCAGCGTTTTGGAAAGGTGCAGAAGTTTGAAGGGCAGAGGAGTCAACACTCTTTGAAACACAGACAGCCTACCTTGGGGTGCTCTACAAGTAAAACCCCAAACATACACTATCTGGTAGTGTCTTTCCCTCAACTAAAATACGAACTGGATAATCCTGATAGATTACCACTAAAAACTTGCAATGAAGAAACAGTAAGCCAGCCAAGCTCTCGTCTTGCATCACCCACAATGCTGTTACCAACCGGGCACATTCTTTGTGTTTATTCCATTCCCCAGAAACCTCCCTGCAAAGACGCAGGACACATGTGGAAGATACTCGCCCACAAAACCTACCCGTACAGCACTCGTCCTTGGGCTCTAACTCGCCAGGGCAGAGCCTGGGGCCGGGCTGTCCTTGCAGGCGCGCAGCTTGGTGCACAGCCCAGGGGTTACCGGGCAGGTCTCTTCTTTTGGAGACGTCAGGATCTGCCTTCGTACCGTGCCTTGATTCGACTGGGAAGTCACAGCCGGCACAGGCGTGCCGCAGATCTCTGCGTACAGCGTTCCCTTCGCAGGCGGGAATTGGCTGATTTCTCATTGTGGGATCGATCCTTAGAAGCACATTTACCTATATAGATATGTGATCATATATGTAGATATAAAAGCCGTAGCTGGGGCTAGAACTGGATTTAGTCTTGCTGCTCCCTCGGCCACCGCGCTCAGGCCCTCGCCCCTCGCCGAACGGCCCCTCGCAGCCACCGCCGGAGGTGACTGAGGCCACTCCGCCGGAGCTGCGCTGACAGCGCGGGGCGAGCCCTTGACGGGGCGGCCGCGGGGAGGGGACATGAAGAGGCCGCGGACTGACATCAGGGGGCGGGCGCGGTGTTACCGCCTGAGGGAGCGCGGGGGGGGGGGGGCTCGCTCCCCACCGGCGAGGGCCGAGGGGCCACGCCGCAGGCCCCGGCACCGGGGGCCGTGGCTCTGAGGGGCGGTCATGGAGGGGCAGCCCCTCAACCGCACCGTGCTGCTCCCTGACCGGGACTTCTCCATGAAGAACTTGTGCTTTCCCCTCTAAAGGAAGTGTACATTTCGCTTGGCAGATGTCTCCTTTGATACTGTGCTCGGTGTTGATTTTTCGGGCTTTTTGTTTTCGCAAAGCAGACCAAACAGTCAAAAGGGAGGCAGGCAAACGCTAAGCTCATTCCAGTGCTGACATGAAACAAATGCACTGTCAGCAAAAAAAAAAAAAAGGTGTTAACATCCCCTCCTTCCAGATGCACTGAGCGGCGAGTTTATACAGCCCAGCCCGTGCCTCCTGCTGTTCACTTAAATGGTAACAGTCCCAAATTCCTCACTTCAAGTGGGAGCAATGTCAGGCCATTACATTGCAGGCCTGACGCTAAACTGCCTCTAACCCTAATAGTTCATGACAAAAGGGTGGGATTTTATTAAAATTTCATCAGAACCATATGTCTAGTCTAATCTGGTTTCTTCACACAGCCAGTATCAGATGTTTCACATAAAAAAAAAGATGCAAGAAGTCCAAGAGCATGCAGCAGTTTTCACTCATTAGAGCCCCAGTTAGTGTTAGCATAAACCCTGAAGTGTGCTGTTTTACTCCTGCTACAGAAGGACCATAGAATCATTTTGGTTGGAAAAGACCCTTAAGATCAATGAGTCCAACTGTTAACCCAACACTGCCAAGTCCACCATGTCCCTGAGTGCCACATCTACACATCTTTAAACACCTCCAGGGATGGAGACTCCACCACTGTGCTGGGCAGCCTGTTCCAGTGCTTGACAACCTTTTCCATGGATAATTTTTTCCTAATATCCAGTCTAAACCTCCCATAGTGCAGCTTGAGGCCATTAACTCTTATCCTATCACTTGTTACTGGGAAGAAGAACCTCCTTTCAGGTAGCTGTAGAGAGCGATAAGGTCTCCCCTGAGCCTCCTTACCTTCAGGCTAAACAACCCCAGTTCCCTCAGCCATTCCTCGTAAAGCTTGTTCTTTAGACCAGCCCTTCTCTGGACATTCTGCAACATCTCAATGTCTTTCTTGTAATGATGGCCCAAAACTGAACATGGTATTCAAGGTGTGGTACCCTCAGCCTTAACTGTTAGTACCAGGTATTTTTGTGAACTCCAATTAAATGTACAGCCTCTGTCTAAACCTTTCTAAACCCTTGACTTCATGGGTACATTATGTCAGCAAGTTCCACGGTCACTATTGCATGAAGAACTGTTTGCTATTTGTGATTTTGCAAATTTTCTGTTGAATAATGTCTTGTTACTGGTATGGGCAGCAGTCCTATTCAGACTGCTGAACACCATTTCATTGTTTTATCACATATTCTGTTAATCTTCTGAGGCAAACGGTTCAAAACTTTTCATTCATTATTCCCGTGAGAATTGCTCCTGCTTTGTTGCAGCTCTTGAGCCTCAAATTCCAGAACACCCTTCTTTGGACTGAAGGTGCCCACAGTCAAGCTTGTGGAAAACGCAGTGGCCCAGAGCTATGCTTGATCTCTTCAGAATTATTTTTCATTCTCTTCCACATATTTCCTAAAACCTCAGTCATTTTCAGTCATATTGCCCACTGAACAGAGCTGTTATCACACTGGTTGGGGTAATGCCCAATTCCATTTTTGATATTACCAGAGAGTTAATTTAGAATCCCATAAAATGTATTTATAATGGATTTTTTCCTTTTTTTTTCTGCAAGACTGTAATTTGTCATTAGTATTATGCCATTAGTTGCAGTATTTGCCATTTTAGTGAGTATTCATTTAGTAGAGTGTAAGACTTCTCAACTTCTTTAATGCCTTCTCTCAACTGAATGACTTAAATAATTAACTTGCAAATGCTGCTGGATTGTTGGCACCTTTCCAATTCATCTACATTGGAGCCTTAATATGAAGTCTGTTTTTCATCTCTGCTCAATAAAACTAATGATTTATTTTTACTTCCTTTCCCTGTTTCTTAGGTAAGTTTTGAGTCATGTTAATATTTGGTCTGATCCCAAGAACATCTAGTTGTGGGCTAACTTTAGGCTTGAAAACACCCGTTTGGTGACAGCAATCATGGCTTCACTAAGAGAAAATCATGCCTCACAAATTTAGTGGCCTTCTATGGAAGGGTTGCAACACCAGTGGGTAAGGGAAGACCAACTGATGCTGTCTGCCTGGACTTGTGCAAAGCATTTGACACTGTCCCACATGACATCCTTGTTTCTAAACTGCAAAGGCATAGATAGATCGCTTGCTGGATATGGAACTGGATGGATAGTCACTCTCAAAGAGTTGTGGTCAAAGGCTTGTTGTCCAACTCGAGATCAGTGACAGCTGGTGTTTCTCAGGGGTCAGTATTGGGATCTGCATGGTTTTAACAACTTTGTCAGAGACATGGACAGTGGGGTTGATGCACCCTCAGCAAGTTCGCCGATGACACCAAGCTGTGTGGTGCTGTTGGGGCTGGAATGTATCAAAGCTGTCAGAGACCATGGGAAGGAGAAACTACAGCTGGCAATTAAGAGTGACCTGTCCCTGACTGGTACTTGGAAGACGTTGGAACTGGCAAGGAACAAGGACGTTGGAACTGGAAAGAGGATGTCAGCAAGAAAATCAGATAGACCTTTCACCTGGTGTAACCGCAGGGCAAATGCAGATGTGCTTGGCAGCATATAAATATCGTGTAATCTTTTCAATAAACGATCCAGCCTGCACTCTACCTCTGGGTCTGTGCCTCCATCCTCACGGGGTGCGGTTGACACACTGGAGAGAAGGGAGGCTACCCAGAGGGACCTTGATACACTTGAGAGGTGGGCCAGTGAGAACCTCATGACGTTTCACAAGGCTAAGTACAAGGTCCTACAGCTGGGTCAGAGCAATCCCAAACATAGTTACAGGCTGGGTGGAGACTGGATTTAGAGCAGCCCTGAGGAGAAGGACTTGGGGGTGTTGATTGATGAGAAGCTCAGCATGAGCCAGCTTCAGTGTGCACCCACAGCCCAGAAACCCTGGGCTGGGCTGCATCAAAAGAAGCATAACCAGCAGATCTAGGGAGGTGATTCTGCCTCACTGCTCTGCTTTTGTGAGACTCCACCTGCAGTACTGCATCCAGCTCTGGGGCCCCAGCATAAGAGGGGGGACCATGAAGTGAGTCTTAGAGGAATGCCACAAAGATGATCAGAGAGCTCATGCTCTCTGATCATCATGAGAGAGTTGGGCTTGTTCAGCCTGGAGAAGAGAAGGTCTTCTCTCTAGGGAGACCTTGTAACAGCCTTCCAATACCTAAAGTGGGCCTATAGGACATCAAGAGAAGGACATTTTGCAAGGGCCTGTAGGGACAGGACAAGGGGGAATGGTTTTCAGCTGAAAGAGGGAAGATTTAGGTTAGACATTAGGAAGAAATTCTGTACTGTGAGGGTGATGAGACATGCACAGGTTGCCCAGAGAAGCTGTGGCTGCTCCATCCCTGGCAGTGTTCAAGGCCAGGCTGGACAGGTCTTTGAGCAACCTGGTCTGGTGGAAGGTGTCCCTGCCTGTAGCAGGGGGTTGGAACTGGATGAGCTTTAAGGACTTTTCCAACCTAAACCATTCTGTAAGTCTCAGAATACATTTTCTTTTGTGTATTCATACATAGTGATCTACAGATTTCTAGGTGCTTAGAGGTTTTAGTTGTGTTTTGCATATATGCATACTGTACTATATAAACTTACTGTGTACTGTGTCTACTACCAGATCAAGATTCTTATGCTTTTGGTGAAAAATCTGAATAATATGGTGAATAAAGACATAAATCAACAGCCCATTTGCAAGTCAGAAGGTGCTGAGCGCTTTTCTGTTCGTGTCTGATGTGGCTAGCACAGCTTAAAAAGAAAGGTGCTATAAGTTGAATTGCTAACTTGGTGGAATTGAAAATCTTAATCCTACGGGCCAGTTTTAGAAGGTCAATTCTGGTAAAGACTGGTGAACTAATTTACCTTCAGTTATTTTAAGGGCATCTTTCCTAGTTTTTATCTGAATTCAGCTTGAGTTGCAGTTGTTACAATTAGGACCTTGCAATTTGACATTAAAATTGTTGTCTTTTAAAAAACTGGTGTAGAAAACTATTTGTACTCTTAAAATAGGGGACTGATGCCCCTTCACATTCAAAGATCTATCAAGGTCATGAAAGGACAGCAACAACTTGCAGGAGTGGTACTGAGACTAACCGAATAGTTCTGAACATTCTGTTCCTCTTAGGCTTGTTTTGGGTTCTCTTGTGATCAGCATGTAATCAACCTTCCCTACTGCAACTTATTATTGTAAGCCCCATGTAAAATACTGTAAAAGTGCATTTAAACACTGACTATGCCAAGTAAAATAGAGGTCTGAGTTTAAACATGTGTGACATTAAATGTGTTTATACCAAACATGAGCTTGATCTGTCATCTAAAGACCTAGTATATGAGAACATTTGAAAAACTTGGATGGGGTGGATTGTGGTCTCAGATTTCTGTTCCAAGTTGAGAGAATGTTTTCTTCATATATGATATATGTTGGATCACATTAAATTTTTATATTTAGTTCTGAAAAAGCTGAACAATTTAGTGGCTGAATTTACAGACATTTTTCTAATTTCCATTTCACCAGCTTAATTTAGAAATTATGCATTGCTGCAGCTTGGTTGAACTTTTGGCCCTCACTTCTTCAAAACAATTACAAATATTAGAATGCATTAGTTGAACTTAGGTGAGTTTGAAATGTTGTAAAACTGCACAAGAAGCAAGATTTACACAGCATTACATTTCATCATCAGCATTTTGGTTTATATATCCACAGGCAGTGATCCCCAAAAGCCCAGCATATTTCAAAATGTAAAGTATCACAAACTCTGTAGTAGTTTAGAAAATTGCCCAACAAATTTAATGTTTTAAGTTTCTTCCTTAGAATCACAAAAATGACAAACATGCAACCATAAAATTATAAAAACAAATGTGATGAGAAATATTCCAGTTCCTCCCAAACCAAGCTAAACAAGCTCTGAGTATTTCAATTTCATGTTGGTTTTATTTGTGAATTGTTTCCATTGGTTTGATGTGAATTATGCGTTGATGCTTTTCACAATGTGAAGAGTTGTAACTAATTCTTCATCATGCCGTATCTTTTCTTCTTTACTCAGTAATACTTGATTTGGCCAAGTCTTTCAAACACCTAATTTTTGTTTGAAAGTGCAGCTGTTGTCTATCTCCATGTTTCATAGAATCATAGAATAGAATCATAGAATAGTTAGAGTTGGAAAGGACCTTAAGATCATCTAGTTCCACCCCCCCTGCCATGGGCAGAGAC